TAGTGGCGATTATAAATTTGGCTCTCAGTTTCCTAGAAACCTTAGGAAAGGGTGGAAAATGCCACCATTTATATGATTCACAATTCTGTAAGATGCTTTTTTGGTTGCTAATAAGAAACACCAATAAGAAAGCACAACAGTTATTTTGTAGAGGAGAAGCAGATTCTTAAATGGGGGTGTTCTTCTTAAAGAAGGAGAAGCCCCAGGGACTGCAGGGGCAGCGAAACAAGAGTGTAGACAGCACATGGGCAGGGAGGTGAGTCAAGGGTGGGAGGAAGCTACAGTTAAAAAGAACCAAGATATAAAATAAACTTTTCCTCTGCTCAATGTCTGGAGTCATTATCTTGAGAAACTTGGAAGTGCAGGTTTATATATATATGGAATTTCCTTCACCTGTTTATCTCCTGTCTGAAACTTGTACTCTCTGGAACTTAAAATAAAAATTGACTGAAAACTTTTCTTAGAAAGCAGAAACTTTCAAATTGTAATAAACAGCAAGAAAAAAGAGACAGAAACCTGAGTTGCATTTAGGGATCACACTTTAACTGAGGAAAACCACATATCAGTGGGAGAATCTGGTAGTTAAAATCAAAAAGGATGGCTGTCTCTGAAGTCAGGCATTAAGTGTTTTTGTTTTTGTTTTTGTTTTTGAGCCGGAGTCTCGTTCTGTCACCAGGCTGGAGTGCAGTGGCTCGATCTTGGCTCACTGCAACCTCCGCCTCCTGGGTTCAAGCAATTCTCCTACCTCAGCCTTCTGAGTAGCTGGGACTACAGGCGCCTGCCACCATGCCTAGCTAATTTTTGTATTTTTAGTAGAGACAGGGTTTCACCATGTTGGCCAGGATGGGCTCGAACTCTTGACCTTGTGATACGCCCACCTCAGCCTCCCAAAGTGCTGGGATTACAGGCGTCAGTCACTGTGCCTGGCCAGGCGTTAAGTGTTTTAGGGCTATATTAAGCATGGTAAGGCACCAGCAAGGCTCATTCCCCAAATGCAAACCAAAGATGTTCTACAGCGTATCAGCTGCAAAATCGCCAAAGCCACTGTTTCCATGTTTCTTTCTTCAATTCTTAAAAAAAAAAAAAAAAATGCTGCTGCCTCCTCCAGAGCCTTGAGGAAAAAAAAGACCAATAAAACAGGCAAGGTGGGTGTCAGATTGTCTAGAAAGAGCCGCCTGTTGACTGCCAAGTTGACTGACACTATTTACCAAGAGACAGGACTCATCAGGAACTTGCCTCCCCAACTAGGGTCTGATTCACTACCAGCTTTTCATCATGATTCAATCCATCCTATGTCGACTGCTTTCTCTGCCATGGCGACTCTTAAGAGGAAAATGCTTATAATACTTCTCATATGTCTAAAATCAAGATCTAGTATGACTACTCTTTAGTCTTACCTTATAGTTCACAGAGAACATAGCTCATTGTATGTATCTTACTATTAGAATTCTTTTATCATCATATTAAATACTCTATTTCAATGATTGCCGTCTAGCTATACTGTGAGATCCTTAAGCCAAGGAAATTGTCTCCCTCTTTCTGACACAAAGTGTAGGTGCTTACTTAATGTATAATAAATAAATAAAGACAATCTTCTGACAACTTCTTCCTGTGGTTGGCCATTATTCCATTTTGTAACTTTTCTGGAACTCTCAAAGTTCTTTTTTATGTCTAATCCTGGTCCTCCAGCATTTTCATAGCAATTTTTTGAGCTTGTACACTATAGCTACTCCCAAATTACCTTTGATTATGTTAGCCAGAGTTAGTTTCTGATGTTTTTTGCCAAGGATGCTGACAGACACATAGTAGCAAGGACCAAGCGGAATTAGAAAACTCAATTAATGACGTCGAACAAACAAAAAAATGAAGTGATCAGTATGGCTGAACAAAACATTTAACTGTAAGACATTTTAGTTAATAGAAAATGTCAACTAGTACTTCTCTGTCTCTTGACATCTGGGGAAAATTGACTGGAGCCCTTCAATTCTATAGCTTGTGGAAGTCTAAAGCCTTCTCTCAGATTTCTGAAGTCTCCCTAGGTCATTTATAGTCTCCTGCCATCCTGTTCCTTTGAGTGTTCATTCTCACATGAGCGTCTTCTCTTCCAAACCGTTTATCAAGACAGGAATGTCAGACATCTCAGCAATGTATGCATATACCCACACACGCACACACACATGCACATATATATCGAAATAAAATATTTATTATATAAGAAAACGCAGTGCAGTTTTATGACCTTGAGCAAGTTAGTTAATCTTCTGTGTCTTAGTTACCACGCATTGTAAAATAGGGATAATAATGATATGTACCTTGTAGGACTGTTTTAAAAATTAAATGGGATAATGTCAGCTATTAGCCCATGCTGAACTCACACATTCAACAAAAGAAACATTCAACACCAATTCACAGCTAAGCTAAAAAAATTTTCATGAAGGACTGGGTCCTCAGAGAGGTCAGCAAACACACCACACTAAAGAAAAAACAAAAAGATATGCGATTGTACTCTGAAAGTCCCTTACAACTAAAGTTTTGCCCCTTTCCAAACAGAGCCCAGGTTCTCCTCCAAACTCCTCCCTTTTCCATTCGTTTTGTTTCTATCTTCAGAGCAAGTGAAAGGATTCTTCTCCTGGCTAGAAACCCAGGTCTTTCAGTTCTCACCTTATGTACATACTTTTCCAAGTGGGGAAATCCCTTACCAAAGAAGAATTTCTGGTTAATGCTTTTAAAATGATAAAATTTACTCTAGCTAATTACACCTAGGACATGGGTTTCTAGATTTTAGTCATTTGCGTAATATCCTTGTGATTTTTTTAAACAATCTTCTATTAATCAATATAAAAATGGATAATACTTTTACGTTTTATTTTTTAATTACTATTATTTTTTTTTTTGAGACAGAGTCTCACTCTGTCGCCAGGCACCAGGCTGGAGTGCAGTGGCACAATCTCGGCTCACTGCAACCTCCGCCTCCCGGGTTCAAGCAATTCTCCTGTCTCAGCCTCCCGGGTAGCTGGGACTACAGGCACACGCCACCACGCCCAGCTAATTTTTATATTTTTAGTAGAGACGGGGTTTCACCATGTTGGCCAGGATGGTCTCGATCTCTTGACCTCGTGATCCGCCCGCCTCGGCCTCCCAAAGTGCTGGGATTACAGGCTTCAGCCACTGTGCCTGGCCACTTTTGCGTTTTAAATAAATTCATCATACAAGGATATATTTTTCACTACTGTAAGTGTCAAAATAGTGTTAATCATCATAAGAAGGTAAACTCAAACATTTAATTTTAAAATAAAAATGTTGTTGGTATACCATCTAAATGTCTTAAGTATTCCTAACAATGCATACATCCTAAGTTGGTAAATGTGAGGCTACAAACATCTTTTATTATGGACACTCAGAGGCTGTACTGAGAGGACATAAGTGGAAAGTCTGTGGAATTTGCCTGTTATTAATACTGTGGATAGAGAGGGGGAGTAGATGAGGAAGAACATATGTTGAAGAGATCTGGTTAGAAAACTGACAGAGAGGATGATCCAGAGACAAGATTCTGGGGCGTGATATCATCTTGTATCCTGCATTATTGTTCCACAGCACCCAGGAGGATGGCTAATGTCCATTTAATCAAATTGTGTTCTGCCGTTAGAATCTAATGCTGCTATAAACAAATGTTTAAAAGCTAGAAACATTAGGGATCATAATATCTGAATTATTCCCCCAAAAGTGTATTTTAACCAACTGATCCAGTTTGATACAGTGCTGAAATTTAAAACAATTTCATAATGTATCACCATGATATTCCTCACTCTGGTCTTTTAATTAACAAAAATAAAATTGAGATTCTCTGCATTTCACTCTGCTTTCTCTGGGCAAATAATTTCACAAACTTTTAGAGGAAAATTAAAGACCTGGCACCAGCCCAAATAATGCATGTTAAAGTTCTAAGACTCTGCACCAAGTCAGTACTTCTGGGAAATACCAGCTTTATTTGAAATATGTATAGTACAGCAATGACAAACTGATCAACATCACTTTATTAAATACCATGTGCCAGGGATTTTGCCAGGGATCATGAGATACATTCTACTCTCAAGTTATCCCCTGGTTGGGGTGATAGTACATCTTGGCGACTCAAGTCATGTTACACTCAAGTCATGTTTCTGTCAAGATATTTGACAGCTCCTTTTGCCATAGTTTTCTAATACATTAAACACAGAGGCACAAGGCCTTGATCTATACCTGAAATATACTTTTCTATAGGTCTCAAGTGAATGAAAAACAGTATCTATGATTACAGCAACAATGCATTTTTTAGGATGTAGTCCAGCTACTGATATCTATGGATATTTCTCAGCCTCAAATGCCAATTCATAACATTTAAGCCATATTGAATACAGATTTCTTTGTACTATTTGATTCTGCCAAACAAAGCAAGCCTTTTTGAAAAAAAAGAAAAAAATCTTCCCTAGGAGTCAGAATATTATTTCATCTCCAAGGTTTGCAGAAAATTACAGGAAACAAATCAAAATGAGACAAAAACCATTTAGCTTTGTGTAACTATACCATGCAACCATTATGTCACATAATATAATCATCTAGTTAAGAAAAGAAGTGGACAAACTAGAACCTGCTATAAAAAGCAATGTGAATTTGTCTCAAGTTTAGATGTACAGATAGATATTCTTAAGCTATTTTTAACCCCATTTAAACACATCTTCTTCCTATTACAGAAATGAATAATCTATTTTCAAACAGCATCTCCACAATGCAGACTTTTAGTATAGGAAACTGGAAACATTTGCAGCCATATTACATTTTTCACTTAAGCAAAAATGATAAAACACTAATAATCACACAGTACCATAGATATGATTGCATATGAAACATCAAAGAAAATCCACATCCACTAACTTTATAACTCTATAACAACAGATTTTTAGAGGCTTCATAGCAGAAATGTTCACAGTTTATAGCACAATATGTACAGAAATGTAACATACCTCACATTAGCATCAAGTTTGTCCATTACAGGAAATAAGCATGAGTGAGCTGGATTTCAGTGCCCACAGGGTCCTACAATGTGGAATTAAAAAGATGTTAAAAATGAAAGTAACATTGAAAAATGCAAGTCTTTTTTTTTTTTAAAAAAAAAAGGTCAAATAATTATTGCTTCTTATTATGACTTGTTTTATAGAAATATTTAATAAATAATACTATAGCAAAAAGCTTTTGGCATATTGAGGTATGGTATAGCCAAGTGTCACAAAAGGTTTACTTACATCCTACTGATTGCTTGTTGATTAAAACATAGGGATGTTTCTTTTTGCTCGACTTATTGTACTTTTTGTTTTTTCCCAGAAACATGGCTTTTTTATAATCTACATTAGGACAGTAACTAGTGAAAATAGGTAGGTACATTCATTATGATTAAAATAGTACTTTGCCTAAACTGGTCAATCATTTTGTTTCCTATGAGGATTAAAAAAAAGTAATAAATGTTTAAACCATTTTGAGGGTAGGAAATCACAGATTTCTTTGAGAATCTAGTAAACTCTTGAGAACGGTCTGCCCCCCCCCAAAAAACAGATATGCATACACACATATGCACACTTTCGAGAGAGTCCATGCTTCCTTGAACTCAGGAATCCAGTAACTCCAGGCCTATCCAGGAACTCCAGGCTAAGAATTCCCAATTGAGGAGAGTTAACTTTCAAATTACCAAAGTTCCTCCGTCACAGATTCTCAGATGACCTTGTAGTTCATAATGGATGGGCAGTCACTGATCTCCACAAAATCAACCTTCTTAACTAAATATTCAGTTACATTTTTGCAAATAATTTCTTTGTCTTCATCACATCTGTTCCACAGCATGATGAATCGATGAATGTAGGGGCAGGGCCAGACTATTTCTTCCAGGGTCACCAGAAGGAAGTCCTTTTCCTTTTGAGCATCATCATTCACTTCTCAGTAAAGAGAAGAGATTGGAAAAAAATAATCTCTGAGTTCACTCCTAGCTCTGATATTCTTTAGTTCTTTCTGCTAGTTTTCTAACTGAATCTTATCAAGAAGAAACAGGAAATCTGTTTATCTATATAACAGAACCATGAAACTCAGCCTGGGCCCTTAGATACCTTGGCCAGGGTGAGTTAAACAGATGTGGCTGGCAGCCAGGGAGAGAATGACCAATCACTAGATATGGAAAGACCTCAACTCTTTGTGTTTTTCAATGTTTGTTTCTCAGAGCCTCTGACAATATGAGCTCTCATGGGCATTTCTGGGCCTGGGGCAGGCATGGGGAAGGCTCCACCTGCAGGACTCCAAGCCCCATTTCCTAATGTGAAGTAAAGAAGCTCTGTCCACATCTATCTGTTTTACATTTTGAATCTAGAATAATATTTTGTTGGAAATATGCAAGTTCAAAGCCCTAACTATTGAAGTGATGGGGCTAAATCCTCTTTCCTCGTCTATCTAAATTTTTTTCTGAGATGATCACATCCATCTGGTGGCTGAAAATACAGTACAATTGCAATACTATTCACTGTAGACTCCCAAAATTTTATCCCTACATTGAGTCTTTCCTAGACATAGACAGTGCCCATCCAGCATCTCAAGATGGATGATTAAGAAGCATTTCAAACTAAACTCTTCCTTTCTCATTTCCAGCACAAAAACCTGCTCTCCCCCAGTGTTCTCCATCTCGGTAAATAGCCCACCATTTACCCAGTGATTCAGACAAAAAAAACTTCTTCCCATACCCTAGGACCAAAACATCAGCAAACTTATTCTTTCTATTTTGAAAATGATTCCTGGCTGGGGAAAGTGGCTCACGCTATAATCCCAACAGTTTGGGAGGCCCAGGCAAGTGGATTGCTTGAGCCCAGGAGTTTGAGACCAGCCTGGGAAACACGGCAAAACCCCATCTCTACAAAAAATTAGCTGGGTCTGGTGACATAGGCCTGTAGTCTCAGACACCTGGGGGGCGGGCGTGTGAGGTAGGAGGATCTCCCGAGCCCAGGAGGTCAAGGCTGCTGTGAGCGATGATTATGCTACTGCACTCCAGCCTGGGTGACAAAGTGAGATCCTGTCTCAAGCAAAAAGAAAGAAAACAAAAAAGGAAAAGAAAGAACGAAAATTATTCCTCCACCTGACCCTTCTCATCACCTCTGGACCCAGCACCTGGGTCCAAGCCACCAATTTCTTTCTCTGAAATACTCACCCTCACCCCCAATTTGTCTCCTACCAGAATGATATTTTTTAAATGTAAGTCAGGTCATTTCTTGCTTGCATAAAATTCTCGTGGCTTCCTATCACACTTAGAATAGAATCCAAATTCCTTATCATTGCTAACCAGAGCTTACATGATCTGGCCCCAGCTGTTCTCCAAACTCAACTGTAGCCATGCCCCTCCCCTTCCCTGCCCACCATTTCACTGGTTTTGCTACTTTTTGGGGCCATCACTGTAGACTCCCACCTCAGGGCCTTTTCACTTTGCCTCTTTTCCTTGGAATGTGACCATGTAGATTACTCCCTCACTTCCTTAGGGGTGCCGCTCAAATATCACTTCCTCAGACAGGTCTTTTCTCAACACCTAACTACAATTTCACACCCCATTTTCTAAAAATGTCTATCCTCTTTCTCTGTTCTATTTTTTCTTCCCAGTATATATATTATATATACATATAGTCAATTGCTTTTTTATTTGTTATCTGTCTTGCTTACTAGAACATACATTTCAAAAGGGCATAGGACACTGTCTTGATTATTGTGACATCCTCAGTGCCCTAGAAAAATGCCCAGTATATTGTATCCTCATCATAGATATTTATTGAGTCAAGTAAGTAGTTCATTATTTTAGTGAATGAGGAAACTGAGACTTAGGAGTTTTTTATTTTCACACTGGGAGGTAATATATGGACCATCCCAGAATATAATGTTGTAATTTAAAGAATAGCAAAAGCATTATATCTTAATTAGTTACCCTTTACTAAGTGTTAATAAGTGCCAGACATTGCCCTTTTTCTCTTCCTCCAACCTCTGAGTCCAACCTCCATCCTATAGATGAAGAGAATGAGGATCAGAGAGGTTAATTGACTTGCCAAAGTCATACACAGCTAGCACTTGACTAATCTGGGGATAGAATTCAGGGCTGTGAATTCTAAAACTCCAGTTTTAGCTTACCACATTTTTATCATCTTATTATACTTCCTTTCACTGAAGCAAGAGAGTATTCTGATGAAAATGAACATTTACTATAATTTTCTGCTATCCATCCATCTATTTCATCTTTCCTTTAGAATAGTGTCTTGCTTTTCCTTACTGGAAACACCTCTTCCCCACTTCAATCCCTAGCTCCAGTGATGATCACATAAGCCGGACTGGTCAATCAGAATGGTCCATTCCTAGCAACAAGAATCCCTTAGGTTACTGGCTGGACCAGGGAAAGCCAAGCCTAGAATTTTTGCTAGAAAGAATCTTTCTTTCCCCTGGTGTTGTCAGAGAGTTTGAAGCTGATGGTGGCCATCATTGTCACCCTATGGGAGGAGCTTGTCTGAGAAGAAAACTAACCCAAAGGAAAGCAGAGGTACAACACAGGGAATGCCACTGTCCTGCCTATATAATTTGAGGCTTAAGATCCAGCAGTGTCTTAACATAATTTTACACTTGAATGTCCTAATTACTAGAGCCAATAAATTCTTTTTTCCTCCTTAAGCCAGTTTGAGTTGTGTTCCAGTCAGCAAGCAAATGAATCCTGAGTAATATACAATAGAATCAATATTGTATTGTTTTGCAGACTAAAAGGAATAAAAGATGGATAGTTTCAGCTTTAAAAGCCATTAAAACCTAAAGTCCATATCATTAAAACTGCATATGAAAATGTTACAGCACAAGAAAAATCTTATATGTTCATAGCATATACATTATTAGATTTTGTGCACTGAAACCCAATGAGCAAATTTAAAATGATTGCCTTTTAACAAACCAGTGAGATAGCATGTATTTTGTCAGAGAGAAAGGAACAGAGGAAGGAGGAGTTGATGATTAGTACCTATCCTAATTTGATTAATTGATTATGCTCCACTATTTTTTGCAGGGCTCACTAGGGAGAACTAATCAGAGCCATGATTATAGGAACATCTCTTGCTGGGAAGATTGCATAGGGTGAGGGGGATGTGGAAGGAACCAGTGCTTTTACCTTGCATACTTATATTTCTGGCTTCTTCACAAAACACTGCCTTACTAATTAAAAACACAATCAACCCAGAACATCTCCTATGTTCAGGTACAAGTTGTGTCACTTCTAAAAATTCTGCCAATTCAAATCCATTAATACCAGGTGTGTATGCATGTGGTGTGTGAGTGTTTTTTAATGACAGTCACCCTGTACCCTATCACCTGGGCTAAGGGACAAGAAATGACACCCTCCATACTAATCCCCTTCAGAGAAACCGTCCTAGATCGTCGGAAAAAGAGCTTGGCAAGTTTTGGAAAAGGGATGGGTGAGGAGTCAAACAAACACTTTTACTATGTGAGGTAAAAATCCATGTTTCAGTAGTCTCTCATGACCATGAAGGACAAGCTTAAACCAACGAATTACTCAGAACATTTTATCCATCATAAAAGTAAAATTGCAGCAACAAAATCTCTATTAGATTCCCTTGAGCTTCTTTTTCTTGATGGATATATTCAGAATCTGAGTCTTCCTTGTAAGATTAGGAGGAGGAAGAGCTTATTTTATTTAAGCCACTCAATACCAATTCTATCTAATCCTAGGTTTTCTGGTTTTACAAGTTTTAAGGGCAAACCCAAAAGGTAAGTGCATCCCATCTTTACCCTTGTTTTTGATTCAGAATTCTCCAAAATATTGCTGTGGAACAGTTGTTAATGGTTAACAGAAGGTGTGTAGTTGCATCTCTGTTATAAGAAGTGTGAGCACAAGGTTCACCTATAAATAGTCCCCACCTATTGGAATGAAATATCGATGTAGTTTGGTACAGTGCCAACATCTGCCAACCTGAAGCTATGTCATAATCTCAGCTTGCTTTGCTGTGCTTTGTTTTGTTTTCTCTGGTTTT